CTGATATTTGACTGTGAAAGTCCATTCCCTTAAAACCTTCTATAATCATTTTAGACTGAGTCTGAGTTGTGTTTTTCTTTTTTTTTTTTTTTTTTTTTTTTTTGTATTTTAGGGAAGGGTCTACAGTGTGTTCAGGGTCTCACTACTAAATTAGACTGGTAATGATCTGCTTGTTTATAGCCTTCCAAGAGCTGGGATTACAGGTGTGTGCCACCGTGCCAGTTTCAGTTGCCATATCAGAGGCAGACCTGCGAGGAAGGCCTAGGGATAGAACCTCTAGCCCCTGTGCCTGCTTGCAGGCACTTTAATCCGCAGAGCTATTTGTCCAGCCCTTGTGTTTTCCTTTTTGACAAGATTTTTATATTTGAAAAAATAATTGTGTAAATATTTACCACCCACCTCTTCATCAGTTTTTAATTAGTGATAACTTATGTTACCAAAATACTAACTGGAAATAGAAGGTTAAAAAAGGGACCAAAAAGAGATAACTTGGTTGATTTTGTGTTTGGTTTTAAAAGTTTCTTAATTTATTTGCTTCAGCAAATATTATTGGCAGTTCATTTTATTGCTATATGCATATTTAGCTACTTTACCCAAATCCTCAAGTAATAATCTCCTTGGAGAGTACACATTTCTTGACTTGGAAATGTTTGATTTTGAAGGGAATATTTAATAGCCATTACAAACACATCATAGGTGCTGGGGTTGTAGCTCAGGGGTAGAATGCTTGGTAAGCTTATGCTGAGGCCCTGGCTTTATCACCACGAACAAAACAATTCACTCTGGGAGGCTGCAACAGAAGAATCATGTTTGAGCCCAGCCTAGACAACTTAGTGATCCCATTTCTAGTTAAGAAGTTAAAAAGGGCTAGGTTTATAGCTTAGTGTGAATGCGCTGAATTTAGTCCTCAGTACCACAAAAAAGAGAAAAGTCCACTCGAAATCACGAAACACATAGCATCATGTAGTCTTTTTACTAAATAATGAAAATAAAATTGGCAATATTGCTTATGAAATCAAGGGGATGTTATGTTTTTCCTCATTTTTCCTCAGGAAAAATCGTGATTATACAGTGTTTGATTTGTAGAACTTGTATCAAAATACAGTGGACAGATATTTTAGTAGTTGGGATTTTAAGTTTGTGTTTATGTGTTATTTAGGGTTCAACTGAGTGTGTTTGCACTGAACTACAATTCCAACCTCCCTCTCTTTTATATTGAGACAGAGTCTCACTGAGTCAACCTCAGAATTGACTGAGTTATTTTTAAAAATACATTTGGACTCACGCACAAATGTACTTTTAAAAAGATTTAGTCCAGTCTGTGCAATTTAGCAAGAAAATATTAAAGGGTAAGAAATGTTACTTGGTGGTGTAAGAGACCTTGACTAGGATGTTGAAGCTCTGGTGAGTTTGGTCCCCAGCCAGCACTACAGAAAGAAAGAGGACTTTTTCTTTTGCTGTACCAGAGATTGAACTCAGGACCTTGTGCTTGGCAGGCAAGCATTTATTCTACTGAGCTATCTTCCCCAGCCCAAAGAATTTTTTTTTTCCTTTTTGATGGTACCAGGGATTGAACTCAGGACCTTGCCAGACAAGCACTTATTCCACTGAGCAAGAATTTTAATCACATTGGTAGGATCAGCTTAGAAAATGGAGGATACAGTGACCATACCCTGTGATTATGCCTACAGTTAGATATAACCGTCTCCAAAAGTGGTGGGGTTCTTTTTGGAGGGGGAGTGGGGTACCAGGAGTGAAACTCAGGACCTTGCACTTGTGAACACTTAATGAATGTTCTGAAACTGTATTGTTTAAGATTTTTGGTTTTTCCAGGTATTCATATTTTTATTGAAATATCTATTAGCTAGCTTTGTGTGTGTGTGTGTGTGTGTGTGTGTGTATTTTAGGGAAGGGTTTACAGGGTGTTGTGGGTCTCCTAGATTTCATTACTAGATCAGACTCCTAGTGATCCGCCTGTTTACAGCCTACCAAGAGCTGGTGTGTTACCATGCTCAGTCTCAATTGCTATCTCAGTCTGCCCAGGGAGAGCAGGCCCAGGGATTGAACCCTGGGTCCTAGGCCTGCTTGCAGGTGCTTTAATCCGCTGAGCTATTTGGCTCACCCTAGAAAATTTTAAACATTAACTGCTACTTTAAGAAAAAAAAAAAAAAATGATGGGCACAAAGTCCTGAGTTCAATCACGGGTACCACCAATAAAATAATAATAATGAAATTAGTAGCAAAATCATCTTAGCTGTTCTGCATATATATCCTTGCGTGATTTTTCCCTTTCTGGTCTTTTTTGAGACAGGCTGTCCCCATGCAGTTCAAGCTGGCCTTGAGCTCACTTAGTAGCACAGGCTGGTCTCGAACTCAGCAATCCTCGTGCCTCAGCCTCCTGAGTGCTGGGGTTACAGACGTGTTCTGTAGTTCTAGTACACTATTTTTTTTTTTTGTTTCAGTTGACTCCCTGTATATCTGGGAACAGCACAAAAATTTAGATGGGTTGTCATTTAGTTTCACAAAATTGATATTATTGTGCATATTCATTCTATGACCAGGATTCAACAGTAAAAGTAATATTTTATAACTTGATCATGCCCATGATTGGTTTGAATGGAGCTTTGTGATTATTTTGGAGTCTACCATGTAGATGGTTTGTTTCTATAAGAATTTTTTTTGCATTCCTGCCTTGCCTGCGCCCCTCCCCTCCTGCTGCCCTTTCAGCATGTATATACTCTAGTCTATATCATACATGTTTTTCTTCATTCCCATAAAATTATGGATATGCATTTTTGGTTTTTGTTTTGGATTTATATTCCTATAGTAGAAGTACATTTTCACCAGACTGTTTATCAGTAGTTATGTTTAATAATGGCATTGACCTAAACTGCTTGATAGCTGTGTATGCTAGGACTTAAAACTTTACCTTTTTTTAATCTCAATTCACTACACAGATTGGACTCTAGTGATCCTCCTGTGTTCAGCCAAGAGCTGGGATTACAGGTGTGTGCCACCACGCCCAATAATCGCTGTCTTGGGGCTGGGGAGATGGCTCAGTAGAATAAGTGCTTGCCTGGCAAGCACAAGGGCCTGAGTTCAATCCCCGGTTCTGCCCAAAAAAAAAAAAAAAAAGAAAAGAAAATCGCTGTCTCAAAGCCCCCCCGGGGGCAGGGCTGACACGGTCCTTAAAATTTACCTTTTTAACAGTACATGCCCACCATAATAAGTTGAATATTTTAAGATCATTATCTACCAGAAGGTGATGACGAAGAGGAAAGTTTCAGAAGTATATATGTATAACCTTGGATTGCAAGTAACTTTCTACGAGTATTCCACAAGGGGAACAGACATTGCTATTAAATTGATAACTTGACCAATGAGAATTGTCTTGCAGTGGGAGTTGCAATGCTGAATGTCACATGATCACACCTGAGCCAAAGTTTCCCCTTCCCCACTCTCTCTTGATCTCTCATTTGGGATTGTGGGTGATCAAATCCAACAATAAGAGGTTATATAGATCTTATAGATGAGAAAAAGGCACAATTCCTTATTTCAAATGAGATTAGGGGGACACGTGTAAAATGTGGGAAACAACAAAATTTTGAACCACTAAGAAGAATGTATGCAGTGTGTTAATTATTGAAACTGTCTTAGCGATTTGATTTGAAACTGTCTCATTGCTATTTATCAATAAAATTATGAAAAAAACCCCAAAAAACAACAAAAACCCCCAAAATTTTGTAGAAAACCACCATTCAAATAAGATTGTAGCTGTGTGAGCAGTCATTCTGTTGAATGACAATGTAATGTCACATTTCTACAAAATCCTCAAAAGGAAGCAAGAACAAATACCATTGGATAAGTTGTGTTAAAAGTGCACAGAAAGAAAAAGATTCCATTGAGCCAGTAGGTAGCATTGATTCCCTATGCAATAACCCTCCTTTCTCCTGTCTGCCTCATACTAGTCACAAAGGTTTCCAAAGGTAAGTGGGAGTTAGCTTGCATATTTTTCTTTATATTTTGTTTTTCTTTATCATTATTTTATTTATTTATTCATTTATTTTTTGGCGGAACTGGGGATTGCACTCAGGCCCTTGTGCTTGCCAAGGAAGCCCTTATTCTACTGAGCCATCTCTCTGGCCCCTTCTTTATTATTTTATATTGCATTATTATAATCACTTTTATATGAATATTTTTGGGTTGTGAAATGAATCATCTGAATTTCCATTTGTTATGGGGGACTTTGCTTTGATATACAAGTGCTTTTGGATTACAAGCATGTTTTTAGAATGAATTATGCCCAATCAAGGTTTTACTGTAATTATTCTTTTTAATTAAATTAAATTAAATTTATTTATTTATTTATTTTGGCGGAACCGGGGATTGAACTCAGACCCTTGTGCTTGCCAGGGAAGCACTTATTCCATTGAGCCATCTCCCCTGCCCCCAGAGGTATGTATTTTTTTTTTTTTTTTTTGCAGAACTGGGGATTGAACTCAGGCCCTTGCACTTGCCAGGGAAGCGCTTATTCCACTGAGCCATCTCCCCGGCCCCTTTTTAATTTTAAATATGATTTATTTTTTCAGATTTCATATGAAAAGAAAAATCAATAAAATACTGGTCCTCAGGTGTTTTATTTTTCTTACAGTAGCAATGAGTTACGCTGCATTATTCATTCCTTTCAGCATTTGGGATGATGCTTCAGTCTCCAAGTGTGTAATTACTAATCTGTATATTTGACTTGTACTTTTAAAAAAACTTATGTGGGTAATAATTGTTTTTCCTTGGTATGGGGCTCTAAATGTAAATAAAACTTAATATTACTGTTTTCCATTCAATTACAGGAATTAGAAATACCAGCAGAGGAGGGGTACTGTGACTTCAATAGCAGGCCAAATGAGAACTCTTATTGCTATCAACTTCTTCGACAACTAGATGAACAGAGAAAAAAAGATATTCTTTGTGATGTCAGCATTGTGGTGAATGGGAAAATCTTTAAAGCCCACAAGAACATCCTGGTTGCAGGCAGCCGTTTCTTTAAGACTTTATATTGTGTCTCAAACAAAGACAGCCCTAACCAAAATAATACTACCCATTTAGATATTGCTTTAGTTCAAGGTTTTTCAGTCATCTTGGACTTCTTGTATTCTGGTAACCTGGTGCTCACTAGCCAAAATGCCATTGAAGTGATGACAGTGGCCAGCTACCTTCAGATGAGTGAAGTTGTTCATACTTGCCGAAATTTCATTAGAGATGCCTTAAATATAAGCATGAAATCAGAAGCTCCAGAGTCTGTGGTTGTGGACTATAATAATAGAAAATCAATCAATACAGATGGTCTGTCTTCATCGCGGGATCAAAAAATTGCCAGCTTTTGGGCAACACACAATCTTACCAATTTGGCAAGTAATATAAAAATGGAAAATGATGATTCTAATGTCAACGAGGGCCAAATGGATACCTTCCAAGTGAGTGACAGTAATTGGACCCAGCACGGTTCTCCTGAATTGGCTGAAAATGAGTCTCCAGGTCAAGCAAAAGTGTTTATTTGGAATAATATAGGTTCCCAGGGAATTCAAGAGACCGGCAAAACAAGGAGGAAAAACCAAACTACAAAGAGATTTGTTTATAATACACCACCTAATAATGAAACGAATTTAGAAGATTCCTCAGTGATACAGCCACCTGTTGCCCATCCAGAGGAGAATAAGACCCTAAACATCAAGCAGGAATCAGGTAAATATTGTATGATATATACAAAGATATCTCTATATATAATTTTGTACAAAGATATCTCTTATTTATATATAATTTCATAAACATATATCATCTGAAAAACTACACGTCTTACTGTGTAGTTCAGGCTGGCCTTGAACCCATGATGATCCTCTTGCCCCAGCCACCTGACTGCTAGGATTGTAGTCATATGCCACTATGCTCAGCCTAGTCATAATCTTGTGATATATATTTATTTTGGGGCAAGAGGTGAGACAGGGTCTTTCTGTATAGTGCAGGTTGGTCTTGAACTCTAGTTGTATAACTCAGGCTGGCCTTGAACTCACAATGATCCTCCTGCCTCAGTCTCCTGAGCACTGGGATTTCTTGTTTTTGTTTTTGTTTTTAATTTTCTTGGATATGTTTTAAAGTAACATTGTAGTTAAATTTTTATTACAAAAGTAATTTATGTATAACACTATATTTGAACATTTGTAATAGATTAAGGGGAAAAATCAATCAAACACAAAATCTCTGGTATACTTTGTCTTGGAAATGTATGAGTTTCTCAAGAGTTGTGTTACCTGATCTGCATATACAGCTTCTTTATAGAAGTGAGATGTTCTTAAAAATATCATAAAAGTGAAATTAAAATGCACTAATATACAACTTATTGAAGTTATAGCTTAGTGTCTAGTCTACCTGAATTGGGTCCCAAAAACTAGCCTACCATTGGTCAATCTGATGTAATGCAAAACATTTTATAATTGTTGAATACTTCATGAAATTTACTAAATAACATACTAAAAATGGAAAAGGATGTTGTGTGATGTACTTTTGCACTGTTCTCAATCTGAAAAATCTAAGTCAAACCGACTTGAGCAGTGCCTATGAACTTCGTTGTGCAAGGCATTCTGTAGATTGCCTCACCTGCTCATTTCCTCTGTTTACTATTTACAACCAGCACTAGAAAAGATAAAGCCTATAGTTGTAATGTATAATAATTTGGTCACTTTGGAGCACTTGACAGATCTAGTTTACATTTCCTTCTCAGGTATTTCAACATGTGTTTTACAGAATTTTGGAGTTTTGGTAATTGCATTCTAATTTTTTTATGTAAGATTTTTTTTTTATTTGGTGCAGGGTCTTGCTACACAGTTTGAACTCACAGTGATCCTCCTATCTGAGCCTCCCCAGCACAGGGATTATAGGTGTGCGCCACCACACCCAGTATCAGTGGTTGGGATGGCACAGGCAGGCATGGCATGTGGTACCCTGGATCAGAACCAGATCCTTGTGCTTGCTCAGCAGGTGCTGTGTGTGTGTGGTACAGGGGATTGAACTCGGGACCCTGCGCTTGCCAGGCAAGTGCTTTTTCTACCAAGCCATCTCCCTGGCCCTCCAGCAGGTACTTAGAGCACCAAGCTGCTTCCCCAGCCCTGCATTCTAATTTGTTTAGTACTATATCTTGTTCTTACCACAGAAGAAGTTGGAATATTCTAAGTTTGTCCACTATAACTATCTCATTTGTTTGCCTGCATTAGTAGGAGGCCTCTTAGAACTTTTTCTTCCATGTATTCTGAAAAGAATGTATACTAGAATCTTAGAATATCATACATATTGATGATGGGGATTCTTTTAAATTGTGTTAAGAATATAAATACAAAAATGTCCTCTTATCTCTAGTTTAATTTAGAAGTGCCTAATCTTATTTGAAGAAACAGCTCAGTGGGTTTGAGGTTTCTTGTGCTACAATTTTTTTTTTTTTGGTGGTACCAGGGATCAAACTTGGGACCTTGTACATGCCAGTCATGTGCTTATGCCACAGAGCTGTCCCCCTGGCCTGGTCTCTCATCTTAGATTTGTCCAGTGCTTTCATATTTGATGTAATGTTTGTGCCTTACACAATGTAAAGCACGGTTTGGTATCTGACTTACTTGATGGTGATCACCTAAGAATCTTACTGTCTGTAAAAATTACTGTTTTTAGTTCCCAAATTGCAGAGTGGTTTTTAATTTTCAGAATTTAAGTTAAATTGGTGAAATTTTATTTATGTGAAAAATAACGTGTGTATAATACTATTTGTTGCTCTTTTATATTGTGTTTAGCAAGAATACCTCCTGGCAGTTTTATTAAATTGAATGTTTTAGCTTAATATTATAGAAGACCTCAAAAGAATTCTGAGAAATAGATCTGCATTGGCTAGCATAGTGGGAACCCTGTAGTGTATACATATATAGTATAACATACCTGCCATTGCAGATGTGCACACAGCGCAAGTTTCCCTTAAAGAGTAAGCAGATATTTTGTGCAGCAGTTTGATGGCAAAACTAATTAGAGCTAACCCATTAAAATGATTGTCTTCCATGTAGTTCAGACTGGCCTTGAACTCACATTGTAGCCCAGGCAGGCCTCAAACTTGCAAAGCTCCTCCTGCCCATTAAAATTATGGCCATGTATATAATTGGAGTGATTTAAAGAAAAACAATACTTTTGAACCATAATGCATACTTTGAAAAAATAGCAACACTACTAGGAATTTTATTAGCAGCTTATTAGCATACTTGTATGGATAGTGTGGATGTGTCATAAATACATTGTTGATAATCTCGTATGTCTTCAGTTTATCTCTTACATTGTAAAACACAATTATGTTTTTATGTCAATGTTAGCACCTTGGCATCTTGTTTAAAGTCAGATTTGGTTTCATCAGCTGTATGCTACATTCCAATTGCTAAAGCTTTTTACAATTTGTTAATGCCTTTAAATGCAACAACATTTGAGGACAAAAAATGAGTCTTAAAAAGCTTTATGGTTAGGGCATAATAAGACATTGCAGCAAGAGTTAGCATATTTTATTTATTGTGAAGGTAAAATACATAATACTTGGCTTTGCTGCCGTGAGGTCAGATAATCAACGCTGCCATTTGTTGTAGGAGAGTAGTAGTGAGCAAAATGTAAACAAATGAATGTGGAGGTGTTCCAGTGAAATTTATTCTGCCAGTTTTTGGTGTATAATTCCTTTCTTGTCTTTCACAGACTAGCCTCACACTCTTGATCCTCCTAACTCAGTTTTTGTAGTGCTCAGATTATAGGCATGTGTCACCACATTTGGGAAAGATTTATTTTCTTAAGCATTCTGTGTATAGGGTGACCATTATTAAGTCATTCTATATTTTGTGAAACTTTCTCCATAATTTCTAGTTCTGTCATTTTTGAGTACTGTGATTTGAACCTAACCTCTAATCTCTGTGGTCATATTTGGTAACCCTTCAAATATTAAGATATTAAAAGATTCCCCTGAAGTCCTGTTTTTATAGGCTGTTATTCTCCCCCACCTTGTTGACTTTTTCCAGAAAATATCTGATATGAAAAACACTGAGCCATGTTTCACCAAGGTGGTTTCATCAATAAAAGTAGCAGGGCAGGTGTCACATTTAGAACTGTCTCATTAAAACCTTGCGATTAAGCTACTAAACTAGTAGATATGTGTCTCTTAAAAATGAGTACCCTTTTAACTTTTTCCCCCTGACACTGGGAATGGAACCTCAGGTCTAATAAAGGGGGGCAGGGAAGTTGGACAGCTGTGGTTTGTTTGTAAATCATAGTTTTAATGATATCTTCTTACCATATAATTTGAAACTGTTGGATGATATCCTGTGCTTGATCAAAATTAGTTTGAGGGTTGATCCTCAGGCCTGCCTGCCAGCCCCACCCCCGGGGCATGCTAAGACTGGTTGTGGTGGTGTGCACCTGTAATCCCAGTTCTTGAGAGCCTGTAAACCGGCAGATCACTACAATTCTGATCTAGTAGTGAGACCCTGAACACCCCATAGACCCTTTCCTAAAAAATACAAAAAAAATTTTTTTTGATTATAGAATAATTAAACCTCAAAACTAAAATCTGAGTAATCAAATGAGGAAGTATATATGTATGTGTGTGTATATATCCTTTTTTTTTTTTTTTTTTGTGGAACTGGGGATTGAACTCAGGCCCTTGCACTTGCCAGAGATGCACTTATTCTACTGAGCCATCTCCCCGTCCCCCAAGGAAGTGTAATTAATGTGTTTTGATAATGTTAAAATTTCGAATCCTTGTCTTGGTGATTTCCAACTAAGAAACCTAAGTTTTAGCCAGCTGAAATTAATTTAGCAGTATATTCATGTAGAAATCAATCAGAGAAAATTGGGTCTTAATCCCATTTTGATCTTTTCATGCTCTGGGCTAATGAAATTTTGTTTTATGAGTCTAGTTTTTTAATTATGGTCATACTAGCAAACCTCACCCTTGTAAATAATAGTACTATGTGTTGCACGCATAGTACTTTATTTTGAACAGGTTTTAAATTGACAGATTTCCATAATGTAAGTAAAAATTAGCAAAGAGATTTTTTGGATATAAAGAGATTGCCCTTGTTTTTAATTGATCCTAAAGATCAAGGTACTAAGCATCCTGTCTCAAAAGGAGGAAACATACCTTCTCTAAGATGGCAGACTTCCTGGTACTGACTCCTGAAAAGTCCTCAAATGGATTTTATAGTTGATACTGTGTCATGGGCAGTTCAGGTGTTTCCGGTTAATGCTGTAGTAGATTGCTATATGTAGTAGTTCGCATCTTTTGGGGGAGGGTGAGACGGGAGTCTCATTATGTAGTATAGGCTGGCCTCGAACTCACTTATGTAGCCTAGGCTGGCCTCAGATTGTGGTCTGTCTGCTCCAGCCTTCCTGAGTGCTGGGATTACAGGCATGCACCACTATACCCAGCAGTAGTTTTTTATCTTTTGATAAAGTTGACATAGTTCCATGTAAATGACTGATTTTTTTTTTTCTTATGCCACACAAGTGATCAAATGTAAAGTAATTTTATTTGATCACAAGCCATACTGTTTTTTGGTCTTTTATTTATTTATTTATTTATTTTTTACATCAGTTATTTTTATTTTAAAGAAAAAAAATAAAAACAATGGTACAAAATCTCAAAACAAGATTTTAGGAGAGTAACAATGGTTAGTACATTGTGT